ATGAATAAATTTCTCGAGCAACGCGAAAATGTTGAGACTATAATTTTTTTCGAGTTTCTGCATGGGAAGAAAGTCTTTTTTCGCGAATTATATAAATTCTGAAATGCAATTGAATGACAAAATCTCGTACGATTATTGAAGTGTATGATTTTACTCTTCATAATTTTAATTTAATTTTCAAGATATATTTGATATTGAATATTAAATTGATAGCAAATGACAAAGATAGCAAGTAACAAAAAATTGTTTCTAAAGAAAATTTTCTCTTTTACTCCTATTTTCAGTATAAATTAATTTCTGCAATTTTTAGATGTTATAGAATTCGTAATATAAATATATTATATTTATATATTATATTATATTTGTTATTATCAAAGTACTAAGATAAAATTTTTACTAACATAAAATTTGCAGTTTCTTGATCCTTTCTTTTATGATCCGTTTCACACAACCTACGTACTTCTAATCTTGCACATTCTTTCTTCCAAGTTTCATAATAATGTCAACATTTTAATATCGCTTTAACTTTTATTTCTTAAATATTTATTGAACCGATTTCTAACAGATTCATCATCCATAAGCTTTTATTATATTTATATTTCTTCGATCATAAAAAATGTTCAAAAGGGATTGTGGTATATCTGTTTTTGTTTTATTTCACGCACTTTATAAAACAGCTAAAACATTTCATGCATTTTCAATATTTTGCCGATAACCTGTGCACGTATCCGCACCGTTGAAATTCATGCACTGTGGACGGATTTAACGCTATAACGATCATCGATTTTGTCCATGAGACCGATAGAGCTTTCAGGCGTTTATCTCTAAATAAAAATTATTCGAGTATATTGACATATATCAGTTGTATATCGGTAATACTGAAAAATATATCGGATATCGATACCATGTTTTATTCGAAAAGAGATATTTAATGGTACCAATGCTTGATACTCGCTTTAAATTATTATTATAAAGTATTAAAAATAAAATATTTATCGCGTGAAACCAAAAATATTCTTTTTAATTAATTGTATAAAAATACTGAGCACGCCGGCAGTTATCTTTAACTTTACGCTTGAACGCGATATAACATTAAAACTAGGTGGGCACAATTCAGTTCAAGTAATCGTGACTTAACGATTTGCATAATTCTACTGTATATAAGAGAGTACAGAATATAAGAGAAAAACAATAAATGATATGGCTGTAAGGATCGATTTCCTCGGCCTCGGTAAGCGCTAACTATAGTGCTAATTATAGCGTTAACTTAACGTAATGTTCTTTCTTTTTTAATCAAGATTTTAATATAAAACTGAAGATATATATATATATACATATATATATCTCCGCGTTTTAATTTTTTTCAAGCAAGAATGTTTAGGCGGTATCAGGCAATATTAGAGAGAATATATATACTATATTTGTTCTTATTATATATATCTAGAAAGGAGAATCATATCTGCCTATGTCAATCATAATATTGTGATATTTATGAGCGCTCGCGAGCTGTTATACCAGAGCAGTAAGCTATCGTGCACTTGTCACCCTCTCGATATCTGATATCAGGATTGATAACAACATTCGGAGGCTAAATATAAAAAGGGAGAAATAAGTAGAATTTATATGACGGAGGATATTGAACTCGACCAACATCCTCCTCGCATATATATATATATAGAGAGAGAGAGAGAGAGAGAGAGAGAGAGACGCATGCAACAATCTAATGGATAGTTTCAAAAATATCGATTAATTGTAATTAAATTGTGGGATTTTCCTCTTTCTAGTTCTAACTATGAAAAATAGCAAACAATCAGTGTTAAATTGACATTGGTGAAGTATTAGTCCCGAATGAAAGACGTTGTTGGTTTTAGCCGTCGTCACGTCGTCGTTGAAAGGCATCGTGTTTCTCTTTTTCTTTCTCTTTCTTTCTAACAATAAGTGGTGCAACGTTAAATCGCGACGAACAAACGATGCAATTAAGACGACTTCTTGCGAAATGTATCCGTTTCTCTTCTGCAGCGTTACGGATTTCTGCAATTTAATCTCTTCGATCAGCTATCTTTTCACGATAATGACTCTGGTGAATTCACCTTAATCGTCTTCTATTTTTTAGGCTAGCAGGAAAATTCGCGCATATATAATACATCTTTTAGAGTATATTGAAATAGATTTTCTTTATAAGTCTAGTCTCTCTAATCTGCTTTTAAATATAGATATCGCTAAATTAGCGCGTGACAATTTTACGCTCATTCGCTGTGATGTTGTACTGATAATTCTGCTGATTTAAATAAAACGCGATATAACATTAAAACTAGGTGGGCACAATTCAGTTCAAGTAATCGTGACTTAACGATTTGCATAATTCTACTGTATATAAGAGAGTACAGAATATAAGAGAAAAACAATAAATGATATGGCTGTAAGGATCGATTTCCTCGGCCTCGGTAAGCGCTAACTATAGTGCTAATTATAGCGTTAACTTAACGTAATGTTCTTTCTTTTTTAATCAAGATTTTAATATAAAACTGAAGATATATATATATATACATATATTTTCTCTTCTGCAGCGTTACGGATTTCTGCAATTTAATCTCTTCGATCAGCTATCTTTTCACGATAATGACTCTGGTGAATTCACCTTAATCGTCTTCTATTTTTTAGGCTAGCAGGAAAATTCGCGCATATATAATACATCTTTTAGAGTATATTGAAATAGATTTTCTTTATAAGTCTAGTCTCTCTAATCTGCTTTTAAATATAGATATCGCTAAATTAGCGCGTGACAATTTTACGCTCATTCGCTGTGATGTTGTACTGATAATTCTGCTGATTTAAATATCAGTTGATTGGTATTTGTACGAACCAATCAATACCTAAATTTTTATGATACCAAAAATTTTTATATATTGATTAAAATTTTCGAATGGAAAAAGAATATTCATGTGATATTTATCATATATTTGTTCATTTTCTCCAATAATTTATAATCAGACTATTTTCCAATAATAATTTGGATGTCTGCTAATTGCATTCCTACCTTTATACATCTCCCTCCTCTTATATAGATAATAGTGATTACATAATTTTTATCACTACATGTTATCGTTCCACAGATAATTTACAATGATGATTCACGAAGCAATTAGTGGATATATAACTGCTCATCTTAGTATTATTACAAAATTTTTATACGTATTTTTAGCTTTTAAAGTTTGCACAGAAAATAAAGATTATTGTGTGACATACATATATCGTCTGACGATCTATTTAATGCACTCTCATGTATTAAGGTCGAGTGAGATAATTAAAAGCGTTAAGTAAATGGAGCGACATAATGATCAACCAACGGTAAATTTAATAATTATAATCGTAGAGAAAACGAGGAAGAATTCCCTTCTTAATAAACTTATTCTTATTGTTAGAAAATTTACAACGATTAAAGAATTCGTTTAATAATAAAAATTTGATAATAATAATCGTACATGTTGTAAATACAGATACTCTGTGATATAACTTAAAGAAACTAAATATATTATACATTTCAATATAGGTACATAATATGGTTAAAATTAAGTTTTATCTATTGTGTATTCCAGAATTAAATAAAAAATAATCATCTAAAGGTGGATTCGGGCGTCACTGGCAGAAATGACGCTACGGAAAAACCGCGGAGAAAATGAACAAATCTTTAACATCTCCGATTACCGGCCAGCTGCCGAAACGCCGGAAATCACGGCAAGTCTGCCGGAAATTGATGCGAGAAATTTCTAATATTCGATGTAAAGAGCAATATCAAAATGTACTTTTTTTAGGACAAGTAAAAAAAAAAGCTGAGATGTCTTCTATAAATCACAATGTTATTACATTACATTTTATCGTAATATTATTAATACTTTATATATTTTTGTACATATTATATAATTAAATATTTAAAAAAGCATTTGGGACGTAGTATAATAGCCGATAATTTGCGCGTCATAATAAAGTGATGATAGAAATTTTACTAATCGAAAAGAATAGAAAAATATGTTTTTTTTTTTTTTTTAATTTATTTCGAAAGTTTGATTTAAGTAATTTTCCTAAGCATCGAGAAGATAATCCGCTTGGATGAGATTCGACGCGGTGAATGGGGAAACTTTAATCAAGACGATACTAAAGCTCGAAAGGGACACTCATTCATCTCGATGATAAAGCTAAACTTTTTTTTCCTTTATAGATTTCTGTATCAAGAGCTAAACTCTTCACTATATAATATTTAGAGTCAAGATAATGTCCATTTCTTTTTCGCTATCGAAAATTCTTCCGTCTGCCTGTCTAATCTAATCTTTTATCTTAATTTTCTCTTCTTCGAGTTATTTCTCTCTCTTCCTCTCAATTTCTCGTATGTCGTATCTATAAGCGGACGTATTTTCGCTAAACACAGCGCGAGCATGTCCGAGAGAGATTCCTGTTAACGAATTAACCCGGAAACACGCAACGCGAGATGTATGAATCACTCTGAGAATTAATAGTTTCTCGGTACTAAGAGCGGTCGATTCTCTCTGCTTGTAAACTTTAAAATCGCATGTATGTACGTATATATACTTACATATAAAATTCATATTTTTATCAATTCGTAACACTTTATACTCGTACACATATACATACGTAGCATTTTTTTTTCATTTAAATTATCGTACTCGCACTCGCATTCGCATTTTGTATGCAATTTCGAAAAGCGTAATGGCGCCAACAAAAATTTTCCACGAACGCGAAAGAATTACGCGCGCGAGAAAATTTTAATTTTAAAGCGGGAGCAAGCGTAGGACGCAAACTATCGCGCGTTTACGTTAAAAGGGACCACGCTGTTATTCCGCGCGGTTAATCAAGATAAAAAATAAATATAGAGAATCCTATCGCGCGATTTCGCACGCAACGGCGCGCGACGATCTCACACATACACATGTATACACACGCACGCACACTGACCGATTTGAATTTTCGCATACATGCATACTAACCTCTGCTAATGTTCTGGGCCGCGGGAGCGCGACCCGACACCCGACTATGGAAGGAACGAAATTTCTCCACCCGCGTATTATCGCGTTCCCTCCTTTCAATCAGTCCCGTCGGTTGTCCCCGAATCGCTCTTCTAACAAGTCTCACTTTGATTCGCGCGGCACTCCTCGAAGAGAGGAAAAAAAAGATCGCGCGGAGTGACGACAGGGCGGGAAACGTTGTCTTGACGCGCGAGAGTACTACGTTGAATCGCGACGACGATCCACCAGTCTACCGTCTACCGTCCACCGTCTACCACCGCCGACACGTCCGTCGCGTTGCACGGTCGAACGACGTTTGCGACTTTACGAGTTGCGAATGTTGCGATGGCGATGGCGCGCGACTCGGTTGCCATGGCACCCGCGAGCGGAGTGTACGCGCGATTGGTGGAGGAACATTGAAACTAGGGAGATGCGCCTAACTTTACATCGTACTCTGAAAAATAAACTTTGAGAATAAAAGAGGCGAAATACAGCGAAATTACATTGAAAATATTTCTTTTTTTTCTTTTTTTTTTTTAAGAGCTGATCTGCTACAATTAACAATTACTGAAACTTTTCTAAAATATCACCCTAGATGAATTTTTGTTGTTCTCAGTGCATTTATTCTTGTTACGTTGCACTTTACATGTTTGTACGTGAAATAAACCAAATATACATTAGGTCATGGAGAGAGCTAATGAAAAGTTTACAGATGCAAAAAACATTTGGAAATTGAATGATATTCTTAATGTATTAATTATGTTAATATCGCAATTCAATTTTTTTCATTAAATAATGTAATCTGTAAAAATGTTATCTTTTAATACTTATTTTTTAGATTTCGTTAAAAAAAAATTTAATTTTTAAATATGCTGACTTTACACAAAGATTGTACGAGTCATGTCGTATAACGTAATTACAATTGACAGAGAGAATATCATGTTCCCACATTCCTAAACAATTATTAATAAAATTATTACAATGATAATTCACGTGCACACAAATATCAAGATTAAAAAAACAGGTGACGAATTCTTGCAAAGAGTAATCTAAAAAGTCATTTTTATTGATACTCTTTTACTAGCAATGCTTCTAGTAAGTATCTATACTTTGATATACATACTTTACATACATCTGTAACAAGCACATTGCTCAACAAGAAGCTCAACAAAAACCATATAAAATAAAATATTACTAATATCGTGATTATTGTAGCAGTGTTAATTGACGTTTCTCTCTTTCTTTTTCGTTCTAAAATGAGGACTTTAGAGCAGAGAATGTGATGAAATACAAACGAGATCTATGATCGAATGCAAAGTCTGATCTGATATATTTAAATTCTGTGCGTTTGATATGATCACTAGTCCCTCGAATTTTTATACACCGAAATCATTCGTTCCGCCATTTTTTATGGATCTGTTGTAGATGCTCGTAAGCTCGTTGGGAGATATTGAGTTCTGGATTTATCGAACACAGACCAGGTTGTCCCAAGAGACTTAAACCAGACAGACCTATTGAAAAAATCATTTCGTATATTCGCGTTATTATTTAAAATAAAAGCTGCTTGCGAGATTACTTCTTGCAAAAAATGTCGGTAATTCATTTTACAAAGTCAATTTTTTTTGCGATATAAATTATTTACACTCACCTAGATACGTGTGTAAAGGATCTGGTCGTGTATTATCAAACTTTGCCAATCCTCCGACGACTGTATCCTGAGTATTGAGGATAAAAATTTTATTTTGTTCGGCGTCTGAAAAGTTGAGGAATTCTAGAAGCTCAAGCGTAGCGCCAACCCAGAAACTGTAACACGTGTCAGACGGTTTCCCAGGCCTTCCATTAAATCCACCGTCCTGTCTCATAAGGCACCAACGCTTCAGCCGTGCTAAACGGTTCCACGTCAATACATCCATTATATTAGTATGTTTTCTCATCAAAAACAAACTTGCCACAGCGCAGAAAGTTGATCCTCCGTGAGATTCAAGACCCGGTCCCTGTCCGATACCGCCATCGTACGACTGCAATTATCGTAACCATCTGTTACATGAAGATAAAGATAAAATGCTTACAGAGCTCATAAATAGTAACGCTAAATAATTGTTGATGACAAGTGCGCTTACAATGCTTCGTAATATGTAGTCGATAGCCCGCGGGATGTCGACGCCCGACCAGTCGTCCAAAATTGCGGAAACGCAAGAGGCACAGTAGAGGAATCTCATGTCGCTCTCGCATCCCGTCACCATGGCCATGAAAGATCCGTCGGGATTCTGACAGGCACGGACTCCATCAATGATAGATTTTTTATCCACTCGACTCAGATCATCGCCAAGGATCAGAAGAGTGACCAAGCTTGTGTAGGTCATCGCTAAATGACCACACTGATACTCCGGGACATCCTTTGGTATCGTTGTAGACGCTTGGAAACCAGAACGAGGACCGGCTCCCTCGACCTGGAGACCGTATATCCAATCGATCGCTTCGGACTTGGCCTGTTCCCCGATCTCGTCCAACGAATTTAACAGATCTAAACCGGACAGGGCGAAGTACGCAATCATCGGTCTGGTAGAATCGAATTCCGCCAGACTGCTAGGCATGATTTGTAGTAACCTTTGGAAGTATTTGACATGTTTCTCCCGAGCTAGCTGCTGTGGCATGATTATCCTACGATCTCGCTGCGTTGAATGAAAACGTCACTCTAAATCGACACGACATACGTCTCGGCACGCCTTAAAAACAACTGTAATGTGCTGTCGTTATTCGATTGATGATAACGATTCATATGTACATACAATATTTATCTCAATCGGCTCTTCCCTTCACTCTTCCCATATTGACTCGTCAAAGTTCTAGCAATTCATCGTCGATTCATCGTAAACTCTCCTAAAATCGTATTTGAGAACGATACATTTCATATGCGTTTTCTTTTATGTTCGAATCGAATTAATAATTTAAAATTGTGCGCTGTAATTTGTCGCCTTTGACATTTGGTTATGTTCGTTCACCTTCGACGTTTACCCAACTGAACTCAGCTGAACCACGAACTCAGCAACGTGTCATACCAATCGTTGAATGCAAAATTATGAACCAATAGTACCAATTTATCGTTATATAAGTTCCTAAATGAGAGACTCTTGCTTTCTAAACTTGGCGGAAATTAAAAGATACTGCCTTTGACTATATTATACCCAAAATGAGATGTCATAATTTGTAGAAATAGAAAAATTTGCCAATTTTTGTGCAGAATGGATCGAAATAAAACGAACACGAATATTTCATATCTTCTTTTATATATATCATCGATCGTTGCATCGTGATAATAGTACGCTATGTAATTTTACATACAGACATACACGCACAAACATTGGCGCGCATCCAACATTAATGCGAACTAACAGTGAGTAGCAAGCAAAGTGTCTGATAAAATACAATTGATAGACCACGGACTTCTTTTATATATATATATATATATATATATATACACACACACATATACAATATATATATAGTCTGGCCCAGGAGACCAAAATTAACAAGCCTCTACTGTGTATATACATATGGGAGATACGAGCGAAAAATTCTTGGCAAATGAGAAACAAGTATCTCCTCTCACAGATATATATATATATATATTGACATAAACTGTACAACATACGCTCTACTACTCTATTATAAAAAAATAGAGAAACCAATATAATTGTTAATTACAAACACTGTTGCATAATTTCTTCATATTGCAAAAACATTAGGTTGATAAACTACAGATCTATAATGGCAACAATTAGCGAGAAAAATCTCTAATATATATCTCTCTATATTTTGCTGTATATTATTAATAAAAGTGCTACATTTATGAAAATGCAGGATCTGATGATACGAGTATGTATGTGTAACACGATAGTAATCTTTAATAAATAAAACTCACGAATACTAAGTCTTGCATTTTACAATGCAACACACGCGCGTGTCATATAAGTACGCAGATACGTGGACCGTTCAAATAAATATCTAATGGAACACATGGAGGTAACATCGACGAGGAATACTAATTATCGCTCAAATGATCGATAATTTGCTAATATATAACTTTGAGGCAATAAATAACTATGCAATTACGGGTATATCAGGTAACAATTATTCGTCATTAGTCTCCTAAAGAGATCGAATCGTTATGGCAGCAAATCGGGAGGTATGCTGCTCGGTAACGTGACGCCGAGTCTAGTTATCATGTAAGATGCGACCTTGCATCCCAATTCTAAGCAACTCTTTGGATCCCAGTGAGCCAGAACGCCGGCCAGAAAGCCAGCCACTAGAGCATCCCCGGCACCCGTCGTGTCCACGATAGGCGCTTTCGGTACGATGGGTGGTATCTAAACAAAAAAAAAATGTTATCATATTTAAAAATTCTTTTATATTTTTTCGATTAATACGAACCTGAATGGACTGTCCTTTGCCCCACACGATGATCGCCGGTGCGCATCCACCGCGCGTCATGATGAATATACCGTCATCGGTCAGCCAATCTTTACTATTGCCGCTGGAAACATCCACCGTGATCCTCTTTAAACTGTTCAGCAAGAAAGGTATGTCGGTGACATCGTCGTACTTTACATTCAATGCTTGCGCGAGTGCGATCATTTCCCTCGCGTTGCCGAACACGATCTTGGCGTGACCAACCATTTCGCAAATGGCCGCTTGATGATCCTTGAAAAAAATAGATTAAAAGATCAAGAAGAGAATATACTCAGTATTTAGATACATAATTAAAATAAAAGACATATATTACTATCTAATATATACTGTCTTCATACAATAATGTATCTATTGGTTACATAATATAATACTATATACTTCTTATACCTGGAATATATATACACCGCTAAGATTGAATGCTATGATAATATTTTTCTCTTGGGCTCGTTTGACCAGTTCCTTAGCTACATCCAAACTGTGTGTTATGAAATATCCTTCAATATAAATTATCTTTAAATTATCTAATTGCAAATTAGCTTTTTTCAAATCATCCAATGTATATATATTGGCTGCACCGAGATTTGCAACAAGACTGCGGGATGATTCAAATACTAGCGAAACGCATAATCCAGTAGGTAGAGTTGAATGTACAGCATATCTAATGAGATATTATATACAAATTAACTTTACCGCATTCTTTCAAGCCCCTATGATAATAATAAAATTACGAACCTTACATCCACTCCTGTAATTCGGACTAGTTTTTCTAATATTGAACCCTGTTGATCACTTCCAACACCACCATAAAAAATACCAATTTGAGATTCATGAGTCTCGTCACATAGCCACTGCAAAATCCTCAATGTATTCTGCGCAGATCCTCCTGGACTTGTGCATTGCTCTGTTCTACAAAATATAAACATTATGTGTATTTTATAAAAAGCTTATAGAAAATTTATCTGCATGCACGAATGTCTTGTATATTATACATATATACATCATGATTATAATTTGTCATTCTGTTTAAAAATTATTTGTTCGATAAAAACATCAAACTATCAAACATATTCTCTAGATACAAATACAAAGAACAATTTGAATAAAAATTGTTTAGAATATCAAGTATTTGTAATTTATAATGTAAATATAAATCATAGTCCAATATAATTAGATTTACTCGGATGGTAGATCTGCAATCAACTCCTGTATTTTCTCCTCGCATAGCTCCGTCTCGCCATCGATTTTGAGATTGTATTTTTTAAGCAGGTCGTCATTCTTCAGCATCACTAAGATGTCCAGGAGGGGATTGCCAAAAGCTATAATCGCTGGAAAATCCAATCGAGCAATGGTTTTCCGCAACGGGATCTTTTCCACCATTTTCTGTATCGAAGAATGAGCTTCGAATGTTAGCTTTCCATGTAGACATATCAAGGTATAAAAAAATTAATTATATAATCTTATAAAACGTACATATACATATCAATTGCAGATTACTTACAAGGTAAACGAAACTTTTCGAATCATCGTAATTTCTAGGCGGGAGTAATTATAAAACTACGTTGGAAATTGTGAAAGTAAAATATTGCAATATCGGAGAATCGATCAACATTTGTAACCCTTTAATCTCCAAATCGAGCAATACAAGAGAGAGAATGCAGATAAAATGTAAATTATAAGAAAACCAAGCAGAGAGAGTGAGCCACTTTATTCCAAATATTCCTTCTCCTTCATATTAACACATCGTAAAGAATCGTGCAACCTAAACGTACGCCTTAATTTTTTTCTATTCATTTCCGTAACTACATCGTTCGCTATCTATCAACGATTAACTGCGATTAACTCTATCGCATATAGGATATCTAGTCTTTCAATCTTATCATAACCTAAATTTATTCCCGTGTAAGCTTATGCTGTTTTGAGGTCTCAATCATTGTATATATAAGCTTAAGAAGAGATCTTTATTATATTTCCGTCCACAAATGAGTACATATTTCGAATAGGACGAAATTGGGTGCGTTCGGGAGACACAACGGTTGAGTAGCAATCAAACGTGATTGGTTCTTACTTCTAGAACCAACAAATCAACGTCGAGTGTTGTAGCCTTTAGATGAACGAAGCTCAACGGTTGTATCTCCTGAAAGCCCGTTCTACATTGATCGCATGTCGCCAGTCGCAAGCAAATCGACCAATCACAGTCGCTAATATTGAACCCTGTTGATCACTTCCGACACCACCATAAAAAATACCAATTTGAGATTCATGAGTCTCGTCACATAGCCACTGCAAAATCCTCAATGTATTCTGCGCAGATCCTCCTGGATTTGTGCATTGCTCTGTTCTACAAAATATAAACATTATGTGTATTTTATAAAAAGCTTATAGAAAATTTATCTGCATGCACGAATGTCTTGTATATTATACATATATACATCATGATTATAATTTGTCATTCTGTTTAAAAATTATTTGTTCGATAAAAACATCAAACTATCAAACATATTCTCTAGATACAAATACAAAGAACAATTTGAATAAAAATTGTTTAGAATATCAAGTATTTGTAATTTATAATGTAAATATAAATCATAGTCCAATATAATTAGATTTACTCGGATGGTAGATCTGCAATCAACTCCTGTATTTTCTCCTCGCATAGCTCCGTCTCGCCATCGATTTTGAGATTGTATTTTTTAAGCAGGTCGTCATTCTTCAGCATCACTAAGATGTCCAGGAGGGGATTGCCAAAAGCTATAATCGCTGGAAAATCCAATCGAGCAATGGTTTTCCGCAACGGGATCTTTTCCACCATTTTCTGTATCGAAGAATGAGCTTCGAATGTTAGCTTTCCATGTAGACATATCAAGGTATAAAAAAATTAATTATATAATCTTATAAAACGTACATATACATATCAATTGCAGATTACTTACAAGGTAAACGAAACTTTTCGAATCATCGTAATTTCTAGGCGGGAGTAATTATAAAACTACGTTGGAAATTGTGAAAGTAAAATATTGCAATATCGGAGAATCGATCAACATTTGTAACCCTTTAATCTCCAAATCGAGCAATACAAGAGAGAGAATGCAGATAAAATGTAAATTATAAGAAAACCAAGCAGAGAGAGTGAGCCACTTTATTCCAAATATTCCTTCTCCTTCATATTAACACATCGTAAAGAATCGTGCAACCTAAACGTACGCCTTAATTTTTTTCTATTCATTTCCGTAACTACATCGTTCGCTATCTATCAACGATTAACTGCGATTAACTCTATCGCATATAGGATATCTAGTCTTTCAATCTTATCATAACCTAAATTTATTCCCGTGTAAGCTTATGCTGTTTTGAGGTCTCAATCATTGTATATATAAGCTTAAGAAGAGATCTTTATTATATTTCCGTCCACAAATGAGTACATATTTCGAATAGGACGAAATTGGGTGCGTTCGGGAGACACAACGGTTGAGTAGCAATCAAACGTGATTGGTTCTTACTTCTAGAACCAACAAATCAACGTCGAGTGTTGACAAGGGAGTCGATTGTGTATCTTTGAAACGAAATGAAAATTTAAGGCTGGTTTATGCAGGCCGTAACTGTTAATTTATGCCGGAACCGTTAAAGTTTAACACTAGGTGAACGAAGCTCAACGGTTGTATCTCCTAAAAGCCCGTTCTACATTGATCGCATGTCGCCAGTCGCAAGCAAATCGACCAATCACACTCGAATATTCGACGGAATAATCGACTGTGATTGGTCGATTTGCTTGCGATTGGCGACATGTGATCAATATAGAACGGGCTTTATCCACATCGCCAATTCAAAATAGGACTCTCTGATTGGTCAATCGTTGCTAATTACCCTAGACACCGGTCGATATGAGTAGTCATGGCTATTTGCGATATAGGCTGCGGTCGAGAAGACGCTAGAGATACTTCGAAGCATTGCATTAACTAATTAGAATAAAGAAATCTTTAAGCCCGTATCAGACTACGCATTGAAAATTGAAGATTGAAGATTAAAGATTGGAATTTGACTAATCAGAACAAAAGAGACTAAAAATTCTTCGTCTTGATTGGTCAAATTTCAATCTTCAATCTTCAATCTTCAATCTCAATCTTCAATACGTAGTCTGATACGGGCTTTACTCTCTTTGCCCTGATTGGTCAATCAAACGCTTCGAAGCATTTCTAGTTTCTAGCGTCTTCCCGACCGCAGCCATAATCAAATAAAACGCTCTCTATATTTTTTGAATACCCTTTGTAAAAGTTTGTTCTTTATAGCTGTACATTTTGTACTCTACAGCTGTAAAATAAACAAATATATTGTTTTTCTTACAATTTAAAATATTCATCAAAATATGAGCATTTAGAAAATATCTATAAAGTCGATATTTCATTCATAATTTTTTATTCGATATTTTTGAAATCGTATAAAAAAAAATATCGAATAGTCGATAATGTCCACGATATCGATAATTTGTAAACACACATTTCTATGCTAGTGGATACACGAGGCCGGCATACATATATTTCACGAAGAAGGTTAAGAAAAATATTGAATAAAATATTTTCGTAAAAATGGTTCGCCGAAAAATTGATAATCGCATACGAGTTTTGATAGAAAACGGTGTCACTCTGAGACACAGGACGATGTTTGCCATTGTCGGCGAAAAAGCGAGAGATCAAGTGAGTATTCAACTAAACATGTGCATGTATTTTGAAGAACGTTTAACTCATAAAATTTTTTCAGGTGGTATTATTGCATCATATGTTGTCTAAGACTGTCGTAAAAGCTAGGCCTTCTGTATTATGGTGCTACAAAAAGGACCTAGGTTTTAGTAGTCATAGAAAGAAACGAATGAAATCTTTGCAAAAGAAAATCAAATCGGGTAAAGTGGATGTTAACGAGGATGATCCATTTGAGTTGTTTGTTATTTCAACTAATATTCGCTACTGTTATTATAATGAAACGCATAAAATATTAGGTAACACGTATGGCATGTGTATATTACAGGTATGAGTATATATTTCTTTTTAGCTATTTATATTATGTTTAATATATTACTGTATTATAATGTTAATATATTTTATAATTTTAGGATTTTGAAGCGATTACACCAAACTTATTGGCGCGTACTATTGAAACAGTAGAGGGTGGTGGAATTATTGTATTTCTGTTGCAATCTATGAATTCTTTAAAACAATTATATACAATGAACATGGATGTTCATCAGAGGTTTCGCACGGAAGCTCATAAAGTACAAACATATTATTTTTTAAAATACACGATACATTATGCAATATTGTAACACTTTCTTTCATTAATATAGGATATAATATGTCGATTTAATGAGAGGTTCCTGTTGTCTCTGGCTTCGTGTACTCGATGTTTAGTCATTGATGATCAGTTAAATGTATTGCCTATATCTTCACACAATCTAAGGATAGAACCTGTGCATAAATCGGGCGTTTTAGAAGAACAGTCAAGTTTGGATACTTTAAAGGAGAATTTGCAAGACACTCAGCCTGTATCTGCATTAATTAATTGCTGCAAAACAGTCGACCAGGTAGATAAACTCGTAAAAATAAATTAATATAAAGAGTTGTTTAATATTATTAAATTTTAAGTTAGATTTATCTAATTCACTACATACATGATTTAAATTTTCAGGCAAAAGCAGTTCTTAAATTTATCGAATGTATTTCTGAGAAAACTTTAAGATCAACTGTATCGCTAACTGCTGCTAGAGGACGCGGAAAATCTGCTGCATTGGGGCTTGCCATTGCTGGAGCTGTTACTTTTGGATACTCCAATATTTATATCTCAAGTCCCAGTCCAGAGAACTTGAACACTCTCTTTGAATTTGTCTTTAAAGGTAAATAAATAAAAAGAAAGGGGGGATTCACTAAATTATTCATAATTATATTACTGAAACATAAAAATGTCAACATGTGTGAAACAAATAATTCGCCTTAGGATTTGACGCTCTTGGATATCAGGAACATCTCGATTATGGATTAGTACAATCCACAAATCCAGAGTTTAATAAAGCTACTGTACGTGTAAATGTGTTTCGAGATCATCGTCAGACAATTCAGGTACGTAATTTTGCCAGAAAGCTGAATCTTTGTATACATATGAGAATAATTCAAAAGTAGAATATATTATAAATTACATTACTTTATATTACTTTATATTATAGTAAGATATATGGACTTTTTTCACTGATCTTTGTGCTGTGAATTAATAACACATAGTTGTTTTGCTTTTTGTACAGTACATACATCCAACAGATACCCATAAATTAAATCAAGCAGAACTGCTTGTGATTGACGAAGCAGCAGCGATTCCTTTACCTTATGTTAAAGCAATGCTTGGGCCTTATCTAATATTTCTTGCGTCAACTATAAACGGGTAAGGATTCTCAACATTTTAAAAATTTTCTAGGGTAATAATAAATAAATTTTATAAATTATCTATTTATTTGTTAATATTTATAGATATGAAGGGACAGGTCGGTCCTTGTCGCTCAAACTGCTACAGCAATTGAGGACACAGACTGCTGGATCAAACAGCCATGGAAAAAATGAAAAGGAGCAACAAGAGAAAATTCTTATTGGCAGGCAGTTGCACGAACTTACCCTCGATGAATCGATACGTTATAAAACTGGTGATTCTATAGAACAATGGCTGTGCGATTTACTTTGTTTAAATGCTACGATGCATGCACCCATTCTTTCCGGATGTCCTCCACCTGATATGTGTCAATTGTATTACATAAATAGGTATTAATTACATTTAATAATGATGAAACATTTTTCATAAATGCTTGCAAATTTAGAAAATTGATATATTCTTAATTTTTTAGAGATACATTATTCTCTTATCACAAGGCTTCTGAGTTGTTTTTACAAAGGCTGGTTTCTCTGTATGTTGCATCACATTATAAAGTAAATACAGCATTTTTTCTCAATATGATATATCTCATTTTTATAAATCTTGATAATATTAACTTGATTATATTATAACTTTTTTTTTTTTTTTTTTTCTCCACAGAATACCCCTAACGATTTGCAAATGATGTCTGACGCACCTGCGCATCATCTATTTTGTTTATTGGGACCTGTAGATTCTAATAGAAAGACTCTGCCTGAAATATTAGTCGTTCTTCAAGTAGGTGTAATAATGAAATATTCTACGAAACCTATACAACTATATCTAAGATATACATGGCATGCCTAAACAAATTTCTAATTTATTCAGACGTTTATCGAGGCTTTTTGGGACGTTTAGCATGTTTTTTCTCTAAAAATACACATTATAAAGATTATATATTCTGAATTATTCATAATTAAAATATTTTGTCTTTATGTGTAAAATGTAAATAATTTAAATTTACTTTTACACAGATTTGCTTGGAAGGTGAAGTTAGCAAAACTAGTATAAAGGAGGGTCTCATGCGAGGTCGTAGAGCAGCCGGTGATCTAATACCGTGGACGATTGCTCAGCAATATCAAGATGAGGATTTTCCAGTATTGGCGGGCGCGCGCATCGTTCGGATTGCCACGCATCCCGATTATCACGGGGTATGTAGTTTCTTTATAACCTGCCAAATTAAAAAAATTATATATTTTAGTTAAAAGAATATAACAATTGCAGATGGGATACGGTAGTCGCGCATTACAGTTGTTGAAACAATACTATGAGATGAAGATACCCAACATTAATGAAAGCATTGCGCAAGAGCCAGTGATGGAAATAAAAAATGTTTCCGATGAAGCAGTCAATTTATTAGAAGAAAGTATAGGTAATTTATTGTTCAATGATATCTGTCTCTGTATTTAGTTATAAATATCTTTTATTGCTTAAAATTTTTTCTATTAAAAAAGTACAATTTTTTAATCACGATTTAAATATACAATGTTGGATTTGGTTCTATTTATAACTGCTTTTGTAGAACCTCGCAGTTCGTTACCACCGCTCTTATTAAAATTAAGCGAGAGGCATCCAGAACATCTGGATTACATTGGAGTATCTTTCGGAGTTACCGAGCAACTGTTGAAATTTTGGAAACGGTCCAATTTTGTACCTACATATTTAAGGTATGCATATACCTACATATATTTATATATATATATATATACATACGAAGGCAATGCCGAGAGATACGACGAGGGTGGATTTCCTGCGGGCATGCGTACAGCTCGCGAAATGATGGTGGTAGGGTGGAAATCGCGGAGGTTCGAGGGTACGAACAAGGGTGACACCCTGCAGTCTGACGCGGGACTTCGACCCTCGTGCTTCGCCGGGGAATGAAGTAACCAGTCACGATTCTTGGACTAGCGACTCGAAGAAATAGAGCCGTGAATTCGGGAAAGTCATGCGCGAGTTCGCGCCGAGATGGAGATTCGGAGAAAAGAGTCGTGACAGTCGCGAAAAATCTTAGTCGCTCTGTCTTTTTGCGTTTCCGTTCGAATTGTTATGTACCAAAGTCGACAAGAAGATACATTCCTGCATAATGCTTTGCAAAATTAACACGGAACAGGATAACGACAAATGGTTGCAGGCTTATTGGAGCGATTTTCGCCGGCGATTCTTAAGTCTACTCTCTTATTCGTTTAACACCTATCCAGCGTCGCTTGCATTGAGTATATTAATTAACAAAACAATATCTTTGGAATCTGTCAGTAAGTATACTATACTATATTAATTAATTATTAATGATTTATATAATGCCGTATTAGAGAACTCTAAGAATTTGTGCATATTATAAATTTCATTTCACAATCAAGACTAATGCCTAACATAGAACGTTTGTAAAAGATTTAAACTTTGAGACAAACATTTGTTTCAGCACTGAGGAAAGAAACGTTGGATGTTTACTTTACATCATACGATCTAAAGCGTTTGCAAATGTATAGTAATAATATGGCCGATTATCATTTAATTATGGATTTGCTACCATCATTAGCACGTTTATACTTTTTAAATATGATGGGAAACACTCATTTCTCAGCAGCACAATCGGTAAAATATCCTACACATCTTTAACATCTTTACTTGATATATTGTTTCTTGATATTATAGCGCTATTGTAACGATACGTGACAATTTTTAGGCGATTCTACTCGGCCTAGGCTTGCAACATAAAATCGTCGACAAATTGGCGGAAGAGTTGAATTTACCATCTTCACAATTACTCGGTTTATTCAATCGTATAATACGTAAATCGATTCAATATTTTAACAGTGTAGCGGAAAACTATGTAGAGAGCACTATGCTGACCAATGAATCAGTTAATGAGGAAGTAAAAATAAATCCTTTAGGTGGACAAAGTTTACACGAAGAATTAGAGAGCGCAGCTAAAGTTTGTATTTTGCATAATTTATTTTCTCGTTATTTATTTTATTCACATAATATATATATTAAAATAATATCGTATGTTACAGGAATTGAAAATAAAACAGAGAGCAGAATTGGAGAAACTAAAGAGAGAAAATTTGGAGCAGTATGCTATTAAGGGATCGGAAACAGATTGGACTAGTGCGCTATCCGGCAAGCACAGTAAAAACCTTATTTCTGTAAAGACTGGTGAAAAGCGACTGTCAGAAGATAATAGTGTACAAGAGTTTGAAAAAAAGCATGTAAAGAAGAAAAAAAGACATTCTTCAAAGCTATAATTTTGTAAAATGCAATAATTTACATAATTTATGTATATCTGGAAATAAATATGAAAGTTGACATACTTAACTAATAACAGACATTTTTACTGATAAAATGTTTATTATATTAAAAAATTATTATTTAAAAAATATACAGATTTTTAATAACTGGAAAGACAAAAAGATCACAGTTCTATGCTTAATAAATTGCGGTTACACATTTTTTTATATTTTATACTTAAAAAAATCACATTAGTATAGCCCAAAGAAATTGGTCCGTAATAATAAAATTTATTTCAGGTATATCATTTTTGCGTAATTACATTACTATTTCAAACTAGTTCAAATCGAAAAAATTGTTATCTATGATATATTTCACACATTGACAAATTAAATTTCTCTCATGTTGTATAGAACGTGAAAGCAGCTTTTCTAATAATTTATTACGATATCTACGCAAAAATATATTATTTTTATTATCGATTAAAGTTCGATTCATTTCGTGTTTTTGCTCATCTTGATATTTAGCAACAGTTTTTTGGGATTCATTATTCAATTTATCGCTTTTCAATTTATCATTTTCGCATTTTTGTATATCAGAAATTTCTTCATGAATTGTATTTTTTGTTGTTTTATCATCTTGAAGCTCTTCTATTTTCATTCGTTTCACCGGCACTTCTTCTGGACCTTCATCTAAACATAAAATTAATACTTGTTAAGCCGCTTCATAAAAAAATTCGTATCACTATTAAAGAAATCGAATATATCAATAATATCAATTATAACAATAACAATTATGATAATAATAATTTTCAAGATATCTGCATGTTAAAAAATGTAAATAATAAAAAAGAATACTATATTCATTTATCAACAAGTATTAAAATTTATATATTTACCGTCGCTTTCTTCACTTTCATAATTCGCTACTAAAATTGGTAAAATAGATGAACTGATCACAGGTAAATTAGTGGGTTCAAGTGTCGTAGATGTTTGCGGTACATCATCCTCATCCGAAATATTGCCAGTAATCTTTTCATATAAATTTGTTTCTTCATGTAAGTCCACTTCTTCATCTATGCATGCTTTGTTATCTTCTTCTTGCAAAACACCTAAAACATTAATGATAATTACAATAAAAAATCTTTTTCATTTTTTTTATTTAATATTTTGCATATAACAAAAGAGAGAACGCAATAAATTAAAAATTTAAAAAGTTATTAATATAAATGGTTAATATAAATTGTACGATTAATATATAATCAAGATAGCAACTGATTTTAATATATTCAAAATTGCAGATTTTTTTTATGCTGTAATATACACATATAAATATATTTTCCGTAATATAACTTACTTATTCCAGGAAAAGGACGTAAACCTCTGTATAATTTGTCTGTATGAACGTAATTGTTATTATTTTCGTATGCGTAACGTTTGCGAGGTCTGCGTTTCTTCTGGCGCACATTTGCTGTCCTGTTCGTTCTAGTTTGTATATTAAAGTTCTGCTTGATTATCTCTCCCCTTTGTAACTTTTCTAATTCTTCTGCCTTGCGCAAGTTTATGTTAGCTTCAGTAGGATACCTCCTGTTTTATAGTACAGTCAAAAAAAAATGTCTCTATTACTCATGCTTTTATTAACGCAATTATTTTTCAGATATTAAAAAACACATGATAAAGTAACTTACTTTTTTCGTTCCATTAGCCACTTTTCGAGATTTTCAGGTATCGATAAATCTTTCATCCTCTGGTATAAGCCGGTACGATGCTGCATACTAATATGTTTCTCCACGAGCATGGGATGTGCCGAAAACGTGCATCCATCAATGCCGCAAACCCTGTGTGTGCTTTTATGCTCGGACAGAGTATCTTTGGATGGAAAATCTCTGTCGCATACCTCGCAATAGTAAGATTTTTCGTCATTGGAACTGACACAATTTTCGTCTCCTTGATTTTCTGTCTCTTCGTCGGCTGGACTCGGGTGAGCCTAAAAATCGTCACTGTATACTAAATTTAGAATATTTTGGGGTATAAACCTTGTCATTTATATATTATTATTCTCAATCATGTTTTACAAAATTTTTACTATTTCTTTATCGATATTCTCTCACAATTATAAGTGAATGCTATAATCTTTTAGTACACATTATATGTGCATTATCAAGTTTTACCTTATTTTTAAATCGTAAATGATTATTGTGTAAAACATTTAAAGTTACATGCCGGGGTATTCAGAAAAATTTGATCTATATATTCTACATAAAAAAACACAGACCTTGCCTTTTTCTTCAGATTACCGTTCTTTCCTTTTTACAAGTTAAATAAATTGCGTTTGTGTTTTGCTTAAGTAATAGTTGATCATCTTTACAATGCATACAATATAGCATAAATATATACTTATACAATGTGCGTTAATTACGACATTAATCGCGAAATTTTGTACAACTGTACAATTATAAAGTAAAATCTTTGTAACCGCAATTATATTTTTCTGTATATTATGTAAATATCATTAACGTATTTACACATTTTATGTTACTATAATTTATGTATAAATTTGCATTAATAATGATATTATTTAAATGAATTATTAAAACGGCAGATTCCACAAAAGATTATTTTCATAATTCAGAACGATTATTTTTCAACAAGTAAGAATAATTTTTTCTTAATGGTTTATAATGCTAAAATGATGGACAACACCAGAATTGGAACTTATAGAAATACGATTTATTCTCATAAAATGCATTTCAATTACAAACTTGTTTACCTTTTTTTTTTTGTCAATCTATCTTTCTATTTATTTATTTATTTTTTTTTTTTCGTCAGATATGAAATAAACAAACAAGTGTATTAAATATGACACGTAGCCATAATCATTTATAAAAGTTGTACTACTAATTTAACAGAGCCACAAGCTATTTGAAACTTTTTACATGTAAAATATTTTATATGAATATAATCTCTATAAAATTATTTATCTCTATTTTTCTCACAGTTTGAATACTGTAATTCTGTTACTATTTCTTAAGCATACTATAGCTTGCAGCACTGTATACTGGCCGTAAGTATAAAGGAAGAGCTTTGAAAACAATTTATACACAAATGGCCAGTTTTACATACTTGATGGATTACATCTAGTAGACCTTGTCATAATGCAGATATTTATATAATTAATTATATTTATAATTAAGATTTATATAATGAAATAGACATTATATAGTATGAATATACATACTAATGTAAAAATGAAATTGAACAAATTGTTACATAGATTACTTAAGCTATTATCATCTAGATTTTAATTAATAGATAATATTTTCTTTCAAAATTATTTCTGTCACCACTATTGTAAATAGCATATACTTATATATGGTGTAAATAATACAAAAGATTACCACATAAATATATTATATTGCAAAAATAATGAGAAAAAAAGAGAGATATAAAGGTTAGCATTTGCACATTAGGATTATGTAGGATTTATAGCAACAATACAATTAAAAATTTGGCAGATGATATCAAAACATAAGGCAAAAATCGTTCTGAAGTTTGAAAACAGAATACTTGTGTTATATATATGTTTTGAATTGTATAATTCTTTAATAAGAGGAGCCTAACGGTTAAGGCTGTGCCTGTTCGCTGGAAGGCTGTTTCTCCTCCGTATGGTCCGTTTGTTCTGATTGTTCTGTTGTATTCACAGTTTTCTGAACACCCTCGGATTCAATCGTGCTATTGTTATCACGTGTTTTCTGACCACCCTGTAAAACCAAAGTAATCAACGTTTATCAACGTTGAATAGAACAGACTGGATCTTCATCACGAAATGACTATTTATACTTTCTTTAGAATTAATGTACATAATTATATATTACGCCATTAATTTATTTTCATATTTTATCTATTATTTTATATTGTTGCCTTCTTACATCTGCTTAATGCAAACAAAATACAGTATATGAACTGTGTCCTGTTTAAAATATCATATCCTGAGAAATGCACTCACGCAGTAAACACGTTTCGCGTGCTTTCTCTATCTTGATAAAGATGATTAATTATAAAAGCTCATTGTCCTCTTATAAACTCAATGCTAAATATTTTAGCTATTTTGTCATTCCGTTTTTATAAGTCGAGGGGAAAATAAGAAATATTTTTTAGTTTGATATCAGAAAAATGGTTTCTTGATATTTCCTATTTTGTATTTATTAAGAAAATCTTAATGCTTCTATTTCCAAAATGATATATAAAAAAAGAATCTATTATTTACATGAATTTTTTGTAACTTTGAAAATTATTCAAGAAAAGTGAATTTCATTGTTCACATAAAATAAGGGATTAACATTATGCAAATTATTTTCGATTTTAATAATTTTAGTAATAATTTGTTTATGCATTAACACACACACACACACACAGATATACACGCACATAACAGATAAATACATTAAAAAAGAGATGTAAATAAAGAGTTGAAAAAAAAAAAGAAAAACGAAAATAGTATTAAAAACAGCAACAAATATAATAAAGTTAGAAATATCATATAAAACAAGTTGGGGCAAATTAGCAAAAATAAAATAATCTATGATAATTTTATGTGCTGGAAAAATATTCTCTACTTACTTGTTTAAAAGAAAAATTTTACAATGATAAAAGCATAAAATCAAGAAGGTATTAACAGATTTTCTGGGATACAACACAGATGGAAAGATACCTGTTCAGGATGTTTTGCAAAATATTCATTTTTTGCATCTCTTATCATCCTGGTTATTTTGTTTCGTGTATCTCTAAATTCTTGCCATTCTACTGTATTTTTGTTTTATTTTTTTTTTTTTGCTCTAATTGTAAGGTACAGTCTAGTTTTCTTTTGTATCTCATGACGAATTTCGTCAGTCACCCATGGCTTTTTTATTAAGTCCGACTCCTAAATAACCATATTTTTCAATAACAGTTAAACTTCAAAATGCGAATACTACCATAGAAATTCTGTATAATATTCAACTATATATAATTTTTTTTAAAGAAAAAATCTTGCAAACTCGTCCTCAGACGACGCACTTGATTCAATTGCAATACAAAGCCATATCACATTGCAGAGATATGTTTCTTTGATAAAATCAATATCCTCCGAATAATGCAAATGAGGTATATAAAGCTCTCAAGATTCCCGCCAAAAACTACTGGCGCAATTAAAGAGTCACATAACTCAAGGATAAAAGCAGCTGTTGAAACAATTGGAATAAACGATACGGGGAGTGTGCGTGCGAGAAAGCGAGAATACGTACCGCGCGATTGTTCATCTTCTTCGCGTTACGTATCGGCTTGCCCTTGAGAGTTCCGTTGTTCGTGTTGTATCTCATGGGTCTCATGGGCGGCATCATCTGCGGGGGTAACATTCTCCGGGGCCACGGTCGCATGAAAGGTCCGCGCGGTCCCATGGACGGCGCGATGGGCGGCGCGATGGGCGCCAGGTGCCCACGTGCCCTGGGTCCCCCAGGGAACAACGGCGGCACACCGTTGAGTCGGGACATGCCGCCTCCGCCGGAGACGGGTCTCGGCGGTTGCGGCGGCGGCGGCGGTAGCGGTATCCTATGTCTGGGATCGCTCAGACTGAACATGCGGTTCAACGGCGGCATCCGACGCATCCGTGGCGGCGACGGCATTCGCGGCGGAAGCGGTATACGTTGCGGCATGCCCGTGATGGCGGGTCTACCGCCAAACCTGGGTGGCGGGAGCGGGCGGGCGCCGGCCGGCAATATTCTGGATCCCACAGGGGACCCTCGGTTTAGCGGACTCATCCTTTTATTTCTGTCAAGAAGAAAGTATTCTCTTCCTCCTCTTCCTCGTAAACACGACAACGCCACGGGGTAAAACGCGGATGTTTTTCTTCGCGGTGAAATTCGCCCGCCCGGCACGAGGTTACGACGTATCGTCGTTGCGAGGAGAAAAAAGAAAGGGAAACTATCGTTCGAGCGCGAGCGAGTGAAACATTGCACGTGGTGTCCCAATATCACGCGACCGAGAGACCGAGAAATCGAGAGAAACTGTTAGAAACGACAAACGCGATCGCGAACTTGAAGACTGATTCCTGTTCAGCGGACCTTTTAACACGCAAATTCATCGCGTGCGTTCGCAAGCGTATCTGCAACTGCTCCATGGAAATTTTTCCGATAATGGAGCAGTCCCGCGATTGGCTATCAATTCGAATAATTTCCGGGACTTAAAAAATTCTCTATTCCATAGCCAATCACGTGATTTTTGCGTCCATCTGTATTTTCTTGCTGGAAAACTCCGATCGTATCTAGAGTTTTTATACATCATGACTATATGTTGAAAATAATTGACAACGTTATCACCAAACAGCTGATGAAAAAAGTTAAGTTATATTCTGTCAAGTTTTCATTTCATCTTTGTGGATCACACAGCTGTTTTAATAATTGAGACGCATGTTTTTTTTTTGTTTTTTTTTTTTTTTTACACTCGTATATTCGTACGCGAAGAAGATGAGTTTGCGAACGCGTGAAGGTGGCGGCGCGATTGGCCGGCGCGTTTCCCACGCTCGCTATTGGCCGATTTCGCGCAACGCTCCCCATAACGTCCCGCCAGCTGTTGGAGTTTTACGTTTGTTTTAAATCAAACGGCAACCGAAGAACCGAACCGCTCGGAACGCTGTGCCGAGCGCCCGTCCGCCCGTCCGTTTTCCCGCGACTCTGTGATGCAGAGGCAGAGGCAGAGGCATAGCCAACTGTAGGCGAACGGAACTCGAACGTTTCGTCGCGGCACGCAGAGAAAGCGGGACGGGCGCGCGCGTTGTTTATCGGCGGAGCATTTTTTTTTCACCCGGTCTATGTACGCGTGTGTGTCCCCGACAGTTTAGATCTCCCGATCCACGATTATACGCGGCACATATCGTGTCGATTCTCCCATTCGGACGATAGGGCTCGTCGTTGCAGACAATGGCCACGATCAGGGTGTACCAGGAAGATCAGGAGAACCGCGTTGTCGGCGCCGATATACGCGGCCGCGGCAAGGAGAACCTCGTTGCCGCCGCGAGCACGCAGACCCAAGGCTTCCAGCCGAACAAACGCGCCGTTCTTGGTGTTCTGCACAATAATTGCCCGCGACACGGAACAAAGCTCGTACGTAAATTTTGCCGTTTCTTCCTTTTCTTCGTTCTCTTTTATAAGAGGAGATTCTCTCTCGATTAAGCGATAAGCACGTTGCCATCGCGCGTTCCTGAACCGCGTAACGTGCATTTCGCGCCTTTAGCGAATTTCGTCCTTCATTTAAAATGAAGTATATCGAAAGACTCGTATATCATTGTATTTCTTTTATTCTTTTAGCAGGAGAATCACAAGGATGAAAAATATATTAAAACAAAACCATTTGTTCCACCACAATCTGAGCCTTTCAAAATTTATGATGATAAGAAAGAGGAGCCAGTCTTCAAGATTTACGAGGATAAATTGGAAGAAGAGACATCTGTTGTACTTAGGGACTCAAAGGAAAAGAGAGAGACAAAAGTCGTGCAAGAAACAGTGGCAAAATCCAATAAAGAGCAGCCAAGAATAGAAACACGTACTACAAGCAGTGTTAATTTTGCAGCATTTCGTAGTACCATCGAAGAAATCTGTCAAAATAAACAAGATGATATCTTCTCAAAAGATAGTCCAATGTCTTTGGAGAAGTCATTGGAGAAGTCTCTGACGTATAGCAGTTCTTCCAACAAAGAATATAAAACTAGAAGAGAATATATTAAGGAAATGAAAACTAATTTCTTTGATGTAGACGAATATAGGGCCGACATATATAATTATTTACGTATATCAGAAGTATGTATTTGTTTATGCATCTATATATGATATATTAATTTACATATAAAAATATTGAAATATATATATATATGAAAATTAAATAAAACATGAAATAAAAAATATAATTAAATATTGTTTAAATAAATTAGTAATATTTCAATTGTAGTAAAAAAAAAGTAATATTAATGTCCCTATATACCTTGATAAGGTATGTTTCATACCTTATCAAGAAAACATTTTCTCAACGGCTTTCTTTTTATTTGCTTTAGTACTTAAATATTTTCTTTTAATTCTTTTTTTTCTATTTTTCAGACACTACATAGACCAAAACCTGGTTACATGAAGAAACAGCCTGATATTACATACTCGATGAGATCTATATTAATAGATTGGCTTGTGGAAGTAGCCGAAGAATATCGACTGCAAGATGAGACACTATATTTGGCTGTCTCGTATATAGATCGCTTCTTATCATATATGAGCGTTGTAAGAACGAAATTACAACTCGTTGGGACTGCTGCTATGTTTATCGCGGCGTGAGTTTATTTTAATAATTAATCTAGTATATGTGAAAAATCAGTAGGTTAAATCTTGAATTGGACATATATTAAAAATTCAAACTATTTATTATTTGATTGAGACTTTTTGAGAGAAATTGAACTATTATTTTACAATTGTTTTATATATATTAATAGGAAATATGAAGAAATTTATCCTCCCGAGGTAGGAGAATTTGTATATATCACAGATGATACATACACAAAGACACAGGTAATAAAAATGGAGAACTTGATATTGAGGGTTTTATCGTTCGATCTAACTGTACCGACACATTTCACATTTCTAATGGAATACTGTATCAACAACAATTTGTCCGATAAAATTAAATTCTTGGCAATGGTAAGTTTCAATAAGCATAAAATAATTTGTGTTCCAGTTCTTTTAGATATTATATACTTTCTGTATCGATCATGTTTGTCTCTTTACTCTCTTGTTATCTTTTAATGCGTTTCGCGTTTCAGTATTTGTGCGAATTATCAATGCTTGAGGCCGATCCATACCTACAGTATTTGCCCAGTCATTTGGCTGCGTCTGCAGTGGCGCTCGCGCGGCATACATTGCAGGAAGAGATCTGGCCACACGAATTGGAGCTATCGACGGGATATGATCTGAAAACTCTTAAGGAATGTATCACATACTTGAGCAAGACCTTCTGCAATGCTCCCAATATCCCACAAGTAGCAATACAAGAAAAGTACAGAAGCAGCAAGTAAGTAGAAATATTAAAAACAATATAATAGCAGTAATAAATAACAACTGTATAATAATCTAATTGTGTATATACATACACACATACATACACATACAATTAGATTATATATATTAAATACAATTTAATATTGTAAATTATAAGTACAGAAGAAGTAGAAATATTAAAAACAATATAATAGCAGTAATAAATAACAACTGTATAATAATCTAATTGTGTATATACATACACACATACACACATATACAATTAGATTATATATATTAAATACAATTTAATATTGTAAATTATATACAATATATATATATATTGTATATAATTTACAACATTATACATAAATATTATAATTAGATATTGATAATATAATTTCTTGACTTGTGTTTTATCATAACCTTTTCATAAAATAAATATATTACGAATTTTTTGGAATATTTGAAAATTTCTTTTAACAAAAGGATCTTTCTTCAGGTATGGTCATGTATCTATGCTGTTGCCTCGTAGTACCGAGGCGGTATCATGCGAGGATGAAGATGAAGAGGAAGGCATTTAGTAATATTTTAAAACGAACACAGGATTAAAGCGATTTTTCTGTGTATAAATTGCTAATTAAATCTCCCGTGAGTGCCTAATATATATCAATTATGGAGGGGATCAGGGCAAGACTGGCCTATAAAATGAAAAGCATACAGTTTATTTCTGTTAGCTTGTTTCGGTCTAGTCGATACGTTTTATGAAAGCAAGAAACATGCCTGGCTCTGCTATCTTCGTCGCACATCATTCTTGCATCATCGCCCATATGCATTCTAGATTGTGACCACATAAAAATTTTAATAATTGTTTCGGGTTTTGTAATTATATCTCCAATGTGCGAAGCTCTAGAGAGAGAGAGTGAGAGAAAGAGATATAACATATCTAGAAACTGTATTTTTATAAGTACTTTTTTAGAAGAATGATTATAAAACACAACAAAGGCGCTGCTTTTTTCTCGTAGGTACATAGCGCAAAACAATTAAATTGCCCTAATAAGAAAAAGAATCAGAAACAAAAATATTTATATTTATTATTATCGTTTACAGTTAGATGCACTATTAACGATACCAATTATCAATAAAAATGGCAAATTTTATTTAAAATATTTCCGTGAAATTAATTGCACACGTTTCGATGAATTTTTCAGTCATTGTACAGTTATTTATTTACAGCATTTTAGATATCCCGTAATTAATATCAAATGCGTAGTTTGCTTTGTTAGGAAAGAAAGTAAGGTATCTTTTTATATATATATCCCTGTACTGCATTATATATATACAAAAGCGTTAGATTATGTGCTGTGCAAGATTACACTGTTAATTTCTTCGTGACACAAATCACTTTAACAGTGATGTTCTCTGTACGAAAGACACGCATACATTATCTTCTATATCCATCCATTAATTCATAATTTATGAATGTAACGGCGTAAATTCGTAATAATTAAATATACATCCATTTTTCGATGACGCACCCCCGTTTTCGATTACATATATTCCACGTGCAATTTTGCACAGCATAATTGCCACATTTTAATATAAAACTCAAAATACCTAGGTGTTCATCAAATCTAATATGCATGAGAATATGTTCGTATATATGAATTCAAATATAGATATAAAAAAATGTTATGGAATCATAATACATCGTTACACGATTGCATATTTAGTTTTGCATTAATTGTAAATTGTCATTTATTTCATTGTTTCATCAGATAATTGAAAATAAGGACTAAAATGTTCCAATGATTATACTTACATTGTGAAATATAAATGTCTCCTCTCCGACACATGTGCAAAAACATTAGGTACATTCAAGATACAAATCAAAACTACCTGTTATATAAATTACAAATAACATTAAAGTATTATTAAATTTTAAAAGGTATGTTTTGTAAAAATGAAACAAAGCTTCAAAAAGTGGTCTTTTCTTTGTATCTTCTGATTCTATGACGTCGCCGTTCTTCTTTGATAAAAAGTTGAAAATGTAATGTACGAATGTTTTTTTTTTATATTATATTTTTATATATATCTGACATAGTGGGTTTTATACCACGTTAAAATATTATAAATTATTCCGAATCGTTTCGATTTGACACAAAATCGTTGTATCAAATGTTCCCTCTATGAGTAATATGAATTCATATAGAAGAAAAGCATGATTAATATATAATTGTAAATAATACCAAAAATTCGTTCTCTTTACGAACGCTTTGGAAGGATATTTTGCAAAGAGGAATAAAGAGGAATGAAAAACAACCGAAGCAGCGAAATTTTTTTTTCTCCACTTTTATATTAAAAATTTAATATTGTAAATTATATACAATATATATATATATTGTATATAATTTACAACATTATACATAAATATTATAATTAGATATTGATAATATAATTTCTTGACTTGTGTTTTATCATAACCTTTTCATAAAATAAATATATTACGAATTTTTTGGAATATTTGAAAATTTCTTTTAACAAAAGGATCTTTCTTCAGGTATGGTCATGTATCTATGCTGTTGCCTCGTAGTACCGAGGCGGTATCATGCGAGGATGAAGATGAAGAGGAAGGCATTTAGTAATATTTTAAAACGAACACAGGATTAAAGCGATTTTTCTGTGTATAAATTGCTAATTAAATCTCCCGTGAGTGCCTAATATATATCAATTATGGAGGGGATCAGGGCAAGACTGGCCTATAAAATGAAAAGCATACAGTTTATTTCTGTTAGCTTGTTTCGGTCTAGTCGATACGTTTTATGAAAGCAAGAAACATGCCTGGCTCTGCTATCTTCGTCGCACATCATTCTTGCATCATCGCCCATATGCATTCTAGATTGTGACCACATAAAAATTTTAATAATTGTTTCGGGTTTTGTAATTATATCTCCAATGTGCGAAGCTCTAGAGAGAGAGAGTGAGAGAAAGAGATATAACATATCTAGAAACTGTATTTTTATAAGTACTTTTTTAGAAGAATGATTATAAAACACAACAAAGGCGCTGCTTTTTTCTCGTAGGTACATAGCGCAAAACAATTAAATTGCCCTAATAAGAAAAAGAATCAGAAACAAAAATATTTATATTTATTATTATCGTTTACAGTTAGATGCACTATTAACGATACCAATTATCAATAAAAATGGCAAATTTTATTTAAAATATTTCCGTGAAATTAATTGCACACGTTTCGATGAATTTTTCAGTCATTGTACAGTTATTTATTTACAGCATTTTAGATATCCCGTAATTAATATCAAATGCGTAGTTTGCTTTGTTAGGAAAGAAAGTAAGGTATCTTTTTATATATATATCCCTGTACTGCATTATATATATACAAAAGCGTTAGATTATGTGCTGTGCAAGATTACACTGTTAATTTCTTCGTGACACAAATCACTTTAACAGTGATGTTCTCTGTACGAAAGACACGCATACATTATCTTCTATATCCATCCATTAATTCATAATTTATGAATGTAACGGCGTAAATTCGTAATAATTAAATATACATCCATTTTTCGATGACGCACCCCCGTTTTCGATTACATATATTCCACGTGCAATTTTGCACAGCATAATTGCCACATTTTAATATAAAACTCAAAATACCTAGGTGTTCATCAAATCTAATATGCATGAGAATATGTTCGTATATATGAATTCAAATATAGATATAAAAAAATGTTATGGAATCATAATACATCGTTACACGATTGCATATTTAGTTTTGCATTAATTGTAAATTGTCATTTATTTCATTGTTTCATCAGATAATTGAAAATAAGGACTAAAATGTTCCAATGATTATACTTACATTGTGAAATATAAATGTCTCCTCTCCGACACATGTGCAAAAACATTAGGTACATTCAAGATACAAATCAAAACTACCTGTTATATAAATTACAAATAACATTAAAGTATTATTAAATTTTAAAAGGTATGTTTTGTAAAAATGAAACAAAGCTTCAAAAAGTGGTCTTTTCTTTGTATCTTCTGATTCTATGACGTCGCCGTTCTTCTTTGATAAAAAGTTGAAAATGTAATGTACGAATGTTTTTTTTTTTATATTATATTTTTATATATATCTGACATAGTGGGTTTTATACCACGTTAAAATATTATAAATTATTCCGAATCGTTTCGATTTGACACAAAATCGTTGTATCAAATGTTCCCTCTATGAGTAATATGAATTCATATAGAAGAAAAGCATGATTAATATATAATTGTAAATAATACCAAAAATTCGTTCTCTTTACGAACGCTTTGGAAGGATATTTTGCAAAGAGGAATAAAGAGGAATGAAAAACAACCGAAGCAGCGAAATTTTTTTTTCTCCACTTTTATATTAAAAATGCTTCAACAGTACCCAAAAATTTTTTCCATAGAGCAACGTGCGTTTCTTCGGAAAAGAATTCAAACAACCTCTCTGTCGGCGCATATAAACGTAACAAGTCGTATAAAATAAAGCAATTAAAAATTGACAATAATTAGTGTTCAAGAGCGAGAGCAATTACCGTATACATATATGACATTAGATCTTATAGCACAGGTATAATAAGGCGCATATATTCTACTCATCGTCAACGGCGAGTAAAAGGAAGGTGTAGTACGCATAATTTTTTTTATCTTTCTTTTTTTGTATCACTGGTATGTTGAAGAGTTCTAGGCTTGATCTGGAATAGGAGACATGATATGATTAGATGATTGATACAAAGAGAACAGGGATTACATTTGGAACCGCAAGGTACAGGATTATCTAGGCAGTTATCGGTCAGATGTGTCGTTAGTGTGTTGTCGCATACTGTAACGCACGAACGATTTTTTTTTTTTTCTTTCCCCATTATATCGCAATTAATATAATTCTACTGTTGTTTACACTCATTAGGATCATCGCCTTGTTTCCCACCTGAAGGCGCGTTAGTAGGAGATGAACCCTCTTCTTCCTCATCCTCCTCATCGACGTCATCGTCATCATCTCCATCCTCCTCATCCTCGTAATCTTCGTCTTCATCCTCTAGACCTTCGCCTGGAATTAATTCCATCTTATATAGGAACTACTCGGAGATACATTTACACGAATATTGTAATTGCAGATACATATTTTGAGATTAAATATTTTTTAATCTGTTATGTCGCGAGTATTTACACTTGTTTAGCGTTGAATTTATAAATGTTGTATCACAATTATTATATTCACATTAGTCATACGGGAAATTTATAATAATATACTCGTGGAAATTACCTGTGTAGTACAGTACAGCTCTAGGAACTATGCGTTCTCTAATGTAATGACCTAATTCGAAATCACTGGTCAATATAGCTTGGGTTTCATCGTCTATGTCGGCTTCCGAGTCTTCTGGCACTGAAAAATAGATATTTGCACCAAAATTATAAACGAAATGAATATAGATTAAACGTATAAAGCAAGATTTATATGAGATATTAAATAATATTACCGATTGGCGGACTAAAGAAATTAAAGAAGGAATCGTTTTGAACTGTTTTGGTCACGGTACGCATAGATCCTCGGGATTTATGCTTCTGATTTTTCTTAATAGTTTTTATTGTTACGTTCTTGCCTTTCTTCCAATCAATAACACAGCCCTATATAAAAGAGATGCTTTTTTTTAGTATTGTGATTAATATTGATAACTAAAACTAAATAATAAAAGCCTTACTTTGCATTTATATATCTCAGGTCCTTCAAAACTAAATGGATCATTTTTTTCCGGAGTACATTTCATGATATATTCTTTAGTGAGCACTAAATTTGAGAAATATTCGTTTGGTGTAAACTGGAATTCGAGGACAAATCCCTAAAAAAATATATGTTAATTTTAATTTGTTTTCTTTTTTAATCATTAATTATATTACATTATCCTTGATGATGACTAACCATTGGATTCGATTCCAGAAATTTGACTTTAATATCACTTAGATGTTTCAGGATCGGCTCGTCATGTTCCTGAACCATATCGGCTAATGTACCTACATTCTTAAATATTGTTAGCCAGAAATCTGGGATGCCTTTAGCGTCATCCTCGTTTTCCGTTCTGTGAAAAATTATATAATATAAATTAATTTGCACAAAAACAACTAATTACATTCCTAAATAAATTTAATGCATATTTAATTTTGTTCTTAATTTCTCCCAAGTAGATAAATTTATACTCATGTAACACATTATCTATTACAATTAAAATAACATTATCTATTATATGAAAACGTACTCGTCCTTGTTCTCTGTATTATCCTCGATCTTCGCCTTTTCTTTCATATAATTATTTAGAGTTTCTTCATCATCATCACTCTCCCAAACGCATTGCTCGTCCGTTGGCTCATATGTACCAGATACTATCTCACTCCGCTTCTGATATAAAGGCGCACACATTTTATAGTACTCACATTCCAAAGCATGGACCTCCTCATAAAATTTAGCCTCGATATTAGTAGTGACAAGCTGCAGTTGTTTCAGTGCTTTAATCCTGCGTTTGACGGGAGCAGGAAGAGACTGCATTTGCTAAAAATTTAATAGTACTTGTGAAACTTTGATATAGTCAAATGTAATATATAATAATTATTCAACATTATTAAAAAATATTTTATTTACAATAATTAAAAGCTTATAAATTTTTTTTTTTAAGTGTATGTTTCTGTCCTTTACAATTTTAATAACAAATCATTAATTAAAAAAACCAATTCTTAATATTTTATATGAGTTAATGACAACGATATATGTAAGGTTTATAATTATAATTAATATGATATATAGATATATAATTATATAATTTCATTCAAATTAATGAAATGGAGATAGCAAATTGAATGACAAATATGTGAAATAAATTGCATGACAAATATATGAAATGTATCATTCTGTTGAAACTTGTAGTTAAGTGGGACATAAAAGCAAATAAGCATTAGAAAGCATGCAGTTCAGAAAAAGATTTTTGCAATATCATTGTAATTATAAACATTTCACAAGGTCAGTCACAATTTATTATAAATTCAAAGATATATAAATTTGTCGAATTTACAAGACGCGAAATAATATTGCAGTACCTCTAATGGTGATGTAGTAATACAATCTCGAAGAGCTTCTAATACTTCAGTGCTACGTAAAATTTTGCGTTGGTTGTTATCATCTTCGTCTTCGACGGATTCCGTAGCACTAGTATTGACGGCGCGTTCCGGATCGGTTGTCATATTACTACAATTCAAATGTATCGCTATCAATCTCTTTAACCTTTGTACATCTTTAGTGTCAACTATCTACATTGATCTAAGAATCTTTTAGCGTTTGGTCTTTTTAAGTCATAAATTTGTCGAATTCTATTTACAATTATAATTTTGTTGAATTTTACGTAGACTGAGGATTTTCTTTTATGTATCTATATATTTCACACTGGTATGACTATTTTATTTTGTTCGCTAAAGCAGTATTAAAATTTATGCAAAAGTGTACATTGCTGGGTTCACATAGAAAAAAAGGCAAGCAACCAATTGA